GAAAGTAAGCCAAATGTAAATTCATGATGACAATAATTTGTGGCTTCTGCAAGGTTAGGATAAACGACATATACTAATTTTTATTATTATCACAAATTACTGACATAGGGTAAATTACTTGTTAACACGTCTCTTTACAATTAAATAAAGATGCAAGAATAAATTAAATTCAATAGTATATTATCAAGGGAACATGCACGTGAAATAAAAATAAATAAATATATAAAATTAGACCTTTGGGGAGGGTCCTTTGAAGATAAATTCTTTCTACATAACCAGTATTACAATTTATTTATTGACATGTACCAAAGCATATATTCGAAAATGTTAGCGTAACTAGCTCTCTTATCACATGGAATTTTTTCCATGGTCTGCCTGTTAAACTTCGAGAGGAAAAAAGGCATGGCGGACATTAAATATGTCGTGTTCTGCTTTGCGTTAGATCTTTTTGTTTCGTTATTTTGTGATAAGTTGTACACGATGTTCTAGTTTCTATCTTGATACTGTGACTAAGAATAGAAATCTCAATCACTTGGTAAATATGATTTACGCATAAAAATGTTTTTACTCCATTTTTTGAATTTTTTTGTGAAATTACATACCATACTCCGTTGAAATTGTTCACTGATGTGGTATGACCATCTCTCTCTCTCTCTCTCTCTCTCTCTCTCTCTGTATGTGTGTGTTTCCTCCTTTTAGAACGTGAAAGGCGACAAAATAAATTAACAGCATTGCACTATATTCTTTGTTGGTTTGGTGTAGAAAGTTCTTGACACGCAATGAAATCTCTTTTTCTCAGAATCCTGTAATCCCCATCCAATATTTCAAAATACCATGTACACACTCCTTTGTCCTTAATGATCACTTGTGGTGCACTGGAAAACATCACAGGTGCATATTTTGATGCAATTTAATCTGTGCAGCGATTCGAATAGACAATGTGTGTCAGGGAAGAAGTTCGCACTAGGGTGACAAGACAATTTCATTAGGACCGGAAGGGTGTCATCTCGCTAAAAACCTAAGACCTTGGCACACGACTTTTTATCAAAGAAATAAAAAATGATTCTTAATTAGTTAAAGCCAGCCTATAATGTGCATTTTTTCGGTCAAATGAAGATGAAAATGAAGTTTAAGAGTTGTTAAAATTGAGATAACCTCTAAAAGTTAGCATCAAAAAGGATGATCCAATCAAATTTAACTTTGCCATCAGAATAGACACGCAGTGAGTAATAATATTCTGACACTTATAGATGGAGGATTTGAGCAGACATTTGATTCCTATCGTAGGAATCCAAGGCACAATTATATTTTATGACCATTTAAAATTTTCTGTCAGCTTGGCGTAATTTAAAATATCCAAAGAAATCGAGAACCAACCATTCCATACAAATATTACGACAATGTATTCTGTTTTACGATTAATATAAACCTCGAGGAACGGTGGAAATCATTTACATATAAGAGTCTAATGACAAGCATTGGCGCGTGGGTTATAATATACTGAAAGAAGGCAGTTACACAAAGAAAACTACATCATCTCCAGTAGAATTAATGTTAAAACTATGAGCTTTATTAGGTTCAGTCAGACTTTATAACTGCCAATATTTCCCCGTATTATATTTTGGTCATACCGAGTCCTACTTTTAGGGTTTATATTTAATATAAACAATGCTATGTAAATGTTGTAGTACATGGCCGTAGGAACCGGGGGGGGGGCATTGGGGGCCGTGCCCCTCCCCAGTAATTTTGCCGATATATAGAAAACAGCTACTATATGCTTGTGCCCCCGTCTGATGACCTTTTTTTTAGTTTTGCTTCTCAAGGAATTTTGGTACTTAATAGTGCCCCCCCCCCACCCAGCTGAAAATGTATGGTTGTGCCCCCTCAAAGTGAAATTGCTTCCTACGGGCCTGGAAGTATATGTATATCTAAATTAAGATTTGTATATACTCATGCGATTAGGACTCCTTAAGCATGCGTTCATTTCTTCGGCCTTTTCGATGAATATTAAGTTGTTTGACAAACAGTAAAGTTATGCTGTTTTTTCGGTACAAGTTCTAATTCATATTTAACATGTAATCGATGCTGGTAGGCTAATATTGACAATATGCAGAAATTTACAATCCTCCAAACAGGGCTTCAAAACCTCGCGATAGAGAATTTTCATTCCCCTGAGAATTCCCTATCGTCGTCTCGCAGATAAAGAAAAGTTTCCTCTAAGCAGATAGAATGTGGATTTTTATTTGTCTCTTTGGATTTTCGTATACGTAATGGCCTGAAATTGACAAAACGCTTAAATAAAGCAGAAGACTAAATACATATTAACACGAGCGCTATGTCGTTTTATTAATGATGTTAAATCAATCCATTACCTATGTAATAAATCCATGCCACTTTTTACCATAGCGAGGCTATTCATCCTGCCTTTTTGAATTCATTAATGCTATTCATGTTATCAGAACATATGACAGTCTCAACTGAAAATTGATATTTTTTTTCTTATGAGAAAATTGCCTCTGTCAAATTAGTTTGCCGGTACTAGATATGAGGACCCTAGAGAATTCGTGGGTGTGAATGAATATTTTGTTCTCTTAATGTAATATATATATATATATATATATATATATATATATATATATATATATATATATATATATATATATATATATATATATATATATATATTTAGGAATAATTCTATCCACTGAAGATAAGGGCTCCAATCTCTCGTGTATAGTCCTAGATCACAAGAGATGTTTTTAATATAACTCACAATTAACCGGTTAAGAAATGTTGATTTTTCTCATTATATCTGGTCCACATTTTGAAGCATTGTTATACAACTTTTCTTTACTCGATGTTTGACTCCTTGCTTTTTAATGAAGTTGATTAAAATCTGACAAACTTTCAATGAAACTGGCGGGTAGCTTGCATAACATTATTGAGTTTCTTGTCGCCGGGCACAGCGGGGTATTGCACTCCTATCAAAGAGAGGCAGACAAATGAATAAGGCCATGCTTTAAGTATCCAGAACTCACGAAAAGAAATCTTCAGACTTTCTGTGACATATTTACGACTGGAGTCAACATTGGAGATACTCCTAAAAGACTATTTGTTGAAATTCAATGTGCGCCATTGGTAAAAGACGTGTTAAAGTAAATCCAGTAGGTGTGTTCTTCAGTATTATGATTTTAAGAAAATAATCTCTTTCTTTCTCTCTCTTTCCGATAAATTAAATTTTCTAAATATAAGAGAGAGCGCGAGAGAAGAAAAAAAAGAAATCCCCAGAAACGTTAACCTTCTTTATGATGTGTGCCATAATCGAATTGTCTTGGGAAGATAACCAGTTTTATAACAAATTAATGATGGTGATGAAAAAAAAGTTCATCAAAAGAGATGAAAATTTCAATGGATGTAATTAAACATCACTTCAATGTTGATAATTTCTAATCTTTCTTTTGCAGATGCATAAATCACCTAGATAAGCAGAGCTTCTTCATTTGACGTCAAAATTAATCACTTGGTTTGTTTAATGACGACTGTGTCCTTATTGCAATTATTCGCCCGTTGTACATCTTGACAAAGGGTTTAAACAAGTTACTCACTTGTCAATGAGAAACGAAGAAGAGAAGGGTTCAAAGTACAAAGTCCTTAAACTAACCATTGCAAATTAAAGGATATAATTTCTTAATCAAAGGTTTCCGAGGGCGGGCGGCCGGACAAGATGTAACCCGTGTATTATATTTAGGCAATCTTGTGTCAATCTGATTTGTTTTCAGATATGAAATAGATACATTTGGTGTCACATAAATTCGTCACACAGCCATCGGCTTCCTAAATTTATTGCGTTTCTAGATCTATGGGATGTGTCCTTCTCACAGGGTGAAGGTGCAATGAAATAAACAAGTATCGTGATAATTTATGACTTGAATTCGACAAGGATTACTTTTTTGACCTGGCTATTTAAATTTTTTCAAATAAATCTAGTTTAATTTGGCAAGATACCGATCTATTTGTGGAATTTTGTCCAAAGATGCCTTTGTCTTTAAAAGTTTGCACCTTTGTAACAATAGCTACTACCGTTCTATAACACAACTTTAGATGAACCCATGTCTTCTAAATTGACTTTTTCCATTCAATGTGACAGAATTATAATCGGAATTACATATCTAACATGTATACAAACATTAAGTTACTTAGAGCCCATGTCATTCTGTTTTGCCTGCAAAATAACTCCAAAATCTTATTCTATGATGGTTCAAGTGCAAATGAGATGAATAACCTTACGAGTAGGAAAGTTGTTGGTTAGCATGTATGATTTTTAAAGAAATGACACAAATTGCAAGAAATGAGTTCCCAACTCAATCATAGAAAGTGAAGAAAAAACTCGATTATTCAGAAATAATTGGAAGTTAGGAATTCATCTCCTTAAATCAATATAAGGATGATAATCATATCATATCTGGTCTAAGCGTGGAAGGCATCACTTTCTTCGTAAACCAATATAATCAAACACTAAAATCGTCTCTGTCAGTATAAAAGAAAACATAAGAAGCGACAAAATACACAGATGAATTGTATGACTGTTGGATTTTTTGCCAATTAATTGGTTTAACATGCCTTGAAACTGCAATAACAGCGTCGTTTTGACAAGAACATTTGTTCAGAAATCTTAAAACAAGTCTTAGAAAATCTATAAAATGGAAAAAAAAAACTATCTGAAGGCGGTCGCTAAAAAAAAAATTCGTTAGGATTGGAGGAGGACAAAACACTTTTATGAAACAAAATGACAATTTTCAGATGATATTAAAGACAAAAGGTATGTTCTCAAGGCAATTTGAAAGATGATAAAAGTGTCTTATAATCTTATTTAAAAAAAAAAAAACAACTTTCATTTGAATTTTTTTCGTTAGAGATTCATAGTCGTGTAAAATGTTTATTGTCAGAAATAAATCCTTAATCCTTTCATTGTAAGATTGATATATTGATAATCTACTTACCCTTAGTTAATAACGCCGAGATCAGCAAAACGAATAAGAAAACACCATTGAAAAATTGTATTCCATCCATGTTTCGGCATTGGTCACATCGAGAAAATCACATCTTTTCGTTCCCGTGGAGAAAACACATCAAACAAAATTTCAAGTTCCCTTTTTACAGGGAAAAATATTGACAAATAAGTTTGTAAAATTTATAGAAATAGTGCACAAACAGGGAAAAAATTCTATGAAGAATGTACTGGAGAATCCGAAAATCCCATCATGGATATAAACTGAATTACTGGTTAATATCACGGAAGAGCCACTAAGCATGCATCGTCAGATAGTAGAGTTAGCTCAACCACTACCAGGCTTACTCTACACACAGCTGATAGATAACTCCAGTATTTAACGATCGTCGTTTTTGTCTGCCAAGATATCTGTATTATATGAATCTTTACCCATCCATTTAACGCTGCATGATTCCGTCAGCTGAAAATTAAAAAAAAATCTTATTGCATTAACATTTTAAAATAATAATATAAAGAATTTTGTGGCAAATAGTTGATTTTGTATGTACCTATTACATGTATTTACTGATATGCCATATTACCTGTTCAAAAAAGAAAAAAATAGAAATAAATACATATACTTTATCATTTACCTGTAGCCGGTTTGTCATCAAGCGTAAGAGGCACCTTGTAATCATGCACGTGGAAAGTTGTTTAAATACTTAAGTGTAGTTTTGGGTCAAATGAACTTCTTTTTAAATATTCTAATGACATCAAACTGTTTGTAAACGTGTAGCTTTAAAGAATGCGGTGGGTGCTAAATGCATGTGGCTTGCTAAATACTTTTTTAAGAATGAGAGAATGATTAATATTTTGTAAATGAAATGGATTTTAGAGCAGGAGTTCTAAATATAATTCATTTAAACATGAACTTACTTACAGTCATTTATAACAATTATAAAATAAGCGTCCTTGTAAAGGTTGATTGACCGCGCATTTTACCTATCAAATTCAGCACCGATCTGAATTCTACCAAATGAATCACAAATCTGAAAGCCGTTCGAATTATTTGTTACTTTTCAACCCATAGCAGTAACCATAACTTCGGGATATTGATAAATATTAAGATAATATACGTAATCTTACTATCTTACCTGATATTGTCAGGTAAAATATATAACAACAAAGCACGTATCTTTCTCCTATTCAAACAATGGTCATCACCAAGTTTAAGACAACTGTGGTTCTTGTTTTACGACATCTGTTTTTGGTTGACCTTGGCGCGTTCAGTTTCCCATCTACACGTTACGAACTATAATGCCTTGTCTCTGTTTTTTCTGAACATATAAAAGGACAAAAACAGCAGTCACCCATCCCTCAGATCTTGCCTCGACAAGGTCGGTACATTTTAAAATGTCCACCAATTGCAGAACAAAAGTCTGTAAGCTATAAATTTTGATTAAATATGCATGCTAAAACGTTTTTGTTTGTTTTGCCACAACTACCATTGTAAGGGGTATTATCTAAACGTTATAAAGCATGTTTTAATCACACTTCTGCATAGTAGCCGGATATAGCTATAACTTGGAAGCAATCCCATTAACAGTTGATTAACAAAGATGTATTTTTCTGTCATGTCATCGACGAACAGGGTTTATAATATAGATTTTATTCAATACAACAGATGTTAGAAGTTATCCATTTCTTTGCTTTATAAATATAGTTTGGAACCGGAAGTGTGGTTTTTAAAGCATCTCTATAAAAGAATTCAATTTTCAAAAACGTTTCATCTTATCTAGCAGTGAGCTGATGCCTCTCCTCACTATCTTTAATAATGCATACAAAGAAATCGGATTTCCAATGAAGCATAGTATCTATAGGCTGAGTGCAAGTTCTAAAGGTAGATTTAAATATTTTTGTATCACCTTTTATAAACTATAAGAACAAATATATAGACGTAACTATATTTTTTTTTTATTTTCCAAAGGAGAAAAAGTCAAGGTGGTAAACAAAGAGAAGAATGTGCATAGCTGCGCAAAAGCATTTTTTCCTTAGATAAAAATGGCGTGTGCATTATGTGTGTGTTTTTTTATTAGATATTTTTTTTATCTAAATACAAATGTAATTAAAACCAATGTCTCAATGCTTTTGGTAAACAGTCAAACACGAAAGAGTTCTTATCAAGCCCAGACGGAAATTAAATCCCAGATTGTTTGTCTCTTTGGTAAAATATAATTCTTTACTATGAAAGTCCAGTCAACTGAAATATGCTGATTTCACAATCAATCAAATCTCATTGGCGCTAAATAAGATGATACGAAGATAACATATTTAGACTGCAATATTTTCGCTGGTGCGAGGTTGACACGTTGACAAAATCGAACTGTTGGTCTTCTTTTTACTTCTCATCTTATCGGAGGCATTTTAAGCCCAAGATATTGTGGTTTTTAAAAGCTTTTTCCTCAGAAGACAAATATACAGTTCCACCCTTGTTGATTTTAAAGATGGATATCACAAATATTTGTTTATGCTATAATATGAAGATATATGGGTGCAGAACAAGGGACACCTATTTGACAAGAAAAAAATCTGATTTTAAAATTCTTGAGGTTTTTGAAATTGGATGATAGCACAAATTCTACCTCACTGGGTACATAAAGCTCGTGTTTGTAAGATGTTTCAACATTTTTGATGGAGATACACTGCACTCAAGGGCAATTCAAGTCCTGTAAAATTAGTATTCTTGGCGATTCTTAATGGCATCTCTAAAGTGAATTACATGTATAGTGGTATGGGCAACTGTAAGTAAAACTAAACCATCATTAGAGTCGGTGAATCCAGCACAAATATTGACATTTGAAGAGGTAAACAAGCCATGATCAAAAATTTCAACTGAAAATGATCAAATGGCGTGTAATTTTTAAATCAATCGATAATGGCAGCTCTACATAAGTCAAATGGCCATGGCTTGATTTTTGATAAATTCGATTCCAAAATACAAGTTATATCAACTCTCATCGTTGGATACCCACGGGTGATCTTGTCTTTTACTCATCACTCATGATGAGTAAAAGACGAGATCACCCATGGGTATCCGACGATGATCAACTCTTCTCAGTGTTTGAATGCTATACGCGCACATGCATCCTTTTTTAATAATGTCAACAAAAAATTCGCACATGATAATATTTCCTTTGAATAGTTGTCACAGCGAATATCATCAAGTTCATGTACATTCACGACCTGACAGTACTCAAAACGCTCTTGCCTGAGCCACTTTTTTGCCCTATCTACTCTCTTGACATTTTATTTTCATGGAATTTCATTGCAACGATTGACTTTCGGGGAAGAAATATGAAAACATCAAAAAGTGGAGATACAAACGCTTCTTGTTCGTACATATATAATAGGTATAACTCCTCAAAACAATACTAGTGATCTTACCTAAAACCTTTATGACATGGTTAAGACATATTAAAGAATTGAACTGCAATGTTCAAAAAGGTCAAATCTAAACCGACGATAATGCTGTCTCCTAGTCGACATTCGATAACTGTATCTAATATTGTTTTATTACCTATGATTGGGTGGGTGTTAATGTAATATTCACAGCATGACTGCATAATATAATACATGTACATGTATTTCGTTAAAAGCTAAAACAGAAACTTACGTAATATCGTTTTCTGTGATCGAAAAAGCAATATAACAAATGTATACATACATAAAATAGTATAATTATTAACCATTTCTTGATATGTCGCTGTCAATCTTCGTAAAGTACATGTAAAAAATGACAGGGTTCTGATGCCAACACTGCGGGAATGTATGTGTAATAATGCCATTGAGTTCTGTCGTCTTGAATTTATTACATTTTGAAAAGAAATGTAAATAAAAAAATGGCATCTAATATCAAGTAGATCTAATTATATATATATATATATATATATATATATATATATATATATATATATATATATATATATATATATATATATATATATAGAACTCAAACCCAAACTGTGTGTGTTTCTTTTTTTTTTTTTCGCCAGCTTTTACAATGCTTTGAAATGATTGAAGGCTTGTACTGAATATATTTTAATAGTTTTATTATTGAGGTGCTATCAAATCACGTATGGGTGCTATATTATGCGAAATAACCTCACCATAACAACAGCTTTAAAGTGAAGTCATTAAATCGGTCACAAAATTTCAGTGTAATTAAGTCAACAAAATAAAAGATGCAAATTTGAGTTATTTAGATGATTTTACAAATACATGTATGCTTCTTTAACACATCACTAAATTTTGGTATGGTTGCTTTATGTGTAGGTTTACAAAGCATTATTTTTTTAAGTTTAATTTTTCATTCTTTGATTTTACTGACATGAAAATCCATTTTTGAAAAATAAGGTGATGAACACATAATATTTCTATTAATAATCTTCAACGAAATAAATTTTATTGACATTTTATAAACAAATTCCATTCAACAACTTACATCCCTTGAATACATTGAAATTTGTTTTCTAACAGAGTGTCATTTAGACGGATTTTATAAGAATGTTAACTTAGCGCCCTTTCGTCTAAATAGAATGGTGAAGTGGTATTAATGTCAGATTATAAGCCTTATATAATCACTTCGCAAACAATTGGTCAGCTAAGAGTTAAGTTTAAGAATTGAAAATGTGTTTCGATGTTTTACGATGGCTTACCTTCAAGCGACTTTGTTAAATTTTGTTTGTTGTAAAGTTTGTATGCAATTCTATCACTGCTAATACATGATTTTGACTATTTATAGTCTTACGTACAGTAAGACCCTACTTACTAACGAGGGATCCATTTTTCAAAAAAGGGATGGGGGTGTTCCAACGTCATTTTTTGGTCACTTTACAAAAAATTTCTCTGAACCCCCTCGACCCCTGACACTCCTAGATCCACGCTTGACCCCTGACACTCCTAGATCCACGCTTGTTTATATATATATATATATATATATATATATATATATATATATATATATATATATATATATATATATATATATATATATATATATATATTTATATATATATATATATATATATATATATATATATATATATATATATATATAATCTGGCTGTCGGCTCTATGATTCTTTGAATCTTTTTTCTCAATTTGATCCTTAGAAAATAAAAGTTAAACCATAAACAGACTTAATCGGCATAATTAACTTACTTAGTTTTAATTAACTTCATGCATTTGATGGTATTGAAGATCCTGTCAGAGTGAATACATAAAATTTTCCTTATGAATACAACTAAAACACTGAAAACTTTGGATTCTCGGCTTTGAATTTTAAAACTCCGTCTCAGTGCATGGAGAAAAACACATATTCCATTTATGTTCTATATTGATCTACCAGATACCTTTTATGTATCGGAAATACAGATTGAGAATTAATTAATAAACACTATTCCATTTAGACTTAGTAAATGAGTTTTTGGTACGAGTTTAAACAAAACACGAGCGTGCATGGTGAGTACGATAAATGAATCAGATATATATTCCTACTTTTTACACTTTCTTTTCTATCTATCTCTCTCTCTCTCTCTCTCTCTCTATATATATATATATATAATGTTATGATATCAATCGATTCTCTCTGTGTGTTCAAAACCATACCTTACCAGTAATTACAGAAAATTTACCTCTAAACATCTATGTATATCTATGTATTATTCAACGAAGATTTTTCTCTTTTCCCATCTTCGCTAGCCAAGGTTTTACGGTCCTCTCTGCTCCCCATTAACGTTTATAGGGAACAGTTTTCACTTCAATATCTTTATATTATCGCTTCTAGATTAAAAGTCAATATTTTCAAAATAGTGATTTTGTTTACATAAATCACATATTTAAATATTTTGATTTTTATGTAGATGGTGAATTAACGAAAAAAGATTTTCATTAATCGTATTTCCTTTTTCGACATACATCATATCCGTCTATCAAGAAAAAATAGGAACAAAGAAGTGGCTGACCTGCAATCAATTTCACACTAGAAATTATTTACAACAGACAAACATTGATTATGACACGAAAAGGACATACCTCTGTCACGCGCAAATAAATGGCAAAACTTGTTCCACTCCCAAGGGTAATAATATCTCACTTGAAGTAATACTTTTTGTCACACAGGGTGAAAGGAGGGGAAAAATCGTAGTTCTTAAGTTAATTTGATTACAAGCACAGTTGAAAACAATCTTTTCACAGTAGCTTGCTCAGAAACAAACTAGAACGTCAAACAGGTTGCGCTTGATTTCTTGATTTTTTTTTTCAAATGGGAAGTATTAAAGGACCCGTCAGCGTATCAAGAAGGTACGTCTAAATACCATATCGATCAACCATGAAAGTAATAATAACGCATGTATAGTTCAAGCGAATAATTTCGTGTAATTAGTAAACTCCCATTCGCTGAAGCTACTAATTGATGCAATACATGTAGCTCATCAGTTGTTTGTGACATGCACAACAGAAAATGACAGAAGGAGATGATAGTATCGCGAGCGATCGTAACATGTTATAATGAATTATATCTACCACATTTTCAGCAGCATAAGATTGCTGAAATTTGACAGCCGAAAGATTAGCACAGTATTTCCTGGCGCATGAAAGTGGCAGCCAGAAGGGAAAATTGGGAATACATCAATAAACGTGTACCTGTTTTTCTAACTTCCATTCAAAGCTCTTTTTAGAAATTGAATAATAAACATGACGCGTTCTTAAAATTACATATACCTTGCTTTGCAAAGCATGCATGGATGACTGCGACTTGCAAATAAAAATTGATCATGACATATATCAAATAAATTCCACGCAATGCTTAAATAAACACCAACAAAAGTTAAGCAGGAATATATCTCATAATTTTTGTATCAATAACGTTAGATTTGCACCGTAAATGGAAAATTTATGATAAACATATTGAACATTCGTCCCCTCCCCCTGTAATGAAAAGATCGTGATGAACAGCCGCAGTATGGTGTCCTACTCTCGTTAGAGTATACATTGAGTTTTTGTTATTGATGCTAATGGCTCGATTCGAGACCAAATGTTTTCATTTTCACTCGCAATACTTCAAAAGCAATTCGATTATTTGGGTTGTAAGGCCTTTGGAATCAGCGGATAAACAGCTTTGTTGAAGACCCGGTCGATCTTTTAAACCTAGCTATAGTGCCCTGTGTCAGGAATCAAGACCCACATGAGTTCTAAAAACTTTCCTAAGAAAAAAAAATTCATGCATTCTCGATTCCTTTTATAACTTTATAACTTACTGAAATGATAAAGCTTTTAAATCGATCGGAAAGAAAGAAATCTTAATAAATCTTAATATATATCTGTGAATTACACTTTTTCAATACACTGTCCTTTCCTTAAAGAAAGAACATGTAACAAAAACCAAGTATACTTGAAAATGACGCTTGTATGCATAAAACATTTGATCATTAATAGTTTGTTTACGGCGTGTCTTGAAAATATAAGGTTCTTGGTACGATTTAGATCTAGTTAGAGTACACTGAAAATATGCATAGCAAAACGCAATTGGCAATGTACTTGCATTTCAGCAAAGTTCAGTTCTTTAATTGAGTGTTCAGTAAGTGACTTGTGAATGCACATCCTCTGTATTATGGCCGAGCTTAGACTTTTTTGTATAGGATACCGTGAGCAAATGTTTTTGACATGAATTACGCAGGGATATCGCGTTTCCAAAGAGTGCCACTGAGAATATATTTATCCAATTATCTATGTACAAATAGGATTCGCAAATCAATACATCATGAAAATGATTTGCTCTCTGCCTTCAAAAGAGAGAATTCACCAAGCGTCCGTTAGATAGAGACGAGTCTTGACAGAAGACAATCCAAGAGAATCGCGACCGACGCTTGACACTTGCATGGCGTCTGTGAAACCAGACCTTTTATGAATGGTTTGTATGCTAGATTATCAGAATTATTCACTGGAATAATTAAGTACTCCCTCGACCATTATTTTGGGTATGACATCTGGTATATATGTATGGCATCCACGAAGTACAAGTTTTCCTGTGGGAATTGCAGTTCCGGTCTATATTAATATCTTGAGTAATTAGTTTTGATTAGTGACCATCGCATTCCATTCATACACTCGCAACGGGGCACTGAATCTCACAATATGCAGATGTACTAGTCTACATTTATTCTGGGGGTCAACTGGAGACATACTAAATAGTGATTTACATAGATGATAATTCAATAAGATATCTCTAACAGTCACAGCTACATGCATCTAATCATAACAATGGGAGAATCTTTCTTACATAAAACTTTATCTCTGATCTTATACAATAAATATTTGCAATCAACATGAAACAACATGGCATAATTTTGTTGGTCGGTTCAACACACTCCTTCTTCAAAATTTTAAAAACAGCAAAAAATGAATTACATTTTAAGGAATTTTGTATGTTACAATTATGTTACAATGACAAATGGAGATTTGATAGGTACAGTCGATAAGTGGAAATCAAGGCATGAAAAAAACGTCATGAATACAGAACAACATCTGGGAGATACTTAAAATTATATAATATAATATAATAAATTTTAAACATTCACGATTTAGACATTGATTTTGCGAAAATAAGAGATCAATGACCTCTAAGTATATTTGTGTTAATATATGTACTCTCAGCTGGGACTTATGCACAATGTTAGAATTCAATATAAACAGTCTTAACCACCCACATTGTCTCATCTTGTAGCTTTTGTTCTACTCTGTATATGTACCATACTATCCGGAGAAACAAGTTAATGTTCACGTATTAAAATACAACTATTTTCCTCCTCCACAAAGTTTAGTTCACATATAGAGACGTTATAACCCTCAAACTCATTCTTGAATTGACAGAGTGGAGGTAAAACTTGATACTCAAACAAGGTTGACGTTTTATCCAGTGATTTTCAAATTTCTGCCAAATTTGGTAAAGTTGAGAAACACCTCATGGGGTTTGATGGGATTTCCATTCGAATCCAATCTCTCCTTCTGCTGCAGTTCCTGGCTACAACACCATGGAATGACAGTTATTTGCTTTTGATATCACACATTATTTGTTTTAAATGTTCTGTGAATGTTGCAATACATAAAACTGTAAAGAAAATGGTCGTTAAGGGAAAACAGAAGAAAACAACTAAATTATTAAACTTGGTTAAAAATCTAAATTATTAAACATGACAATGACAAACCTGAAAACACTGCAAAGTCATTGTGCAATCTGCACAGTTGTACTATGCATGTTACATAGCATATATTATTTTTTTCTCAGGAAATTAAAAAAAAATGACGACAACAAAATGTTTAAGCAAGTTTCAGTATGCTGCAACCTTAATTTGGCTTAGTTTTTAAAGGAAATTTGTTAATCACATTTACAATATGTCTCCTGGAAAACTAACATTATTGCAGGGGTGGAAAATGTTGCAATTTGAATTTCCTAATATTTTTGCAGTTTTAAAGACAAAAATAAAAAAAAAATCAATTGGCTTTCATCAAATCTGAAAAAAAAAATGCTTTTATAAACAAAATTAAACCTTTTATGTATTATTTTGTGCATACCAATAGCAAGTGATTTTAGTTGTGGGTAAGGAAGGGTGGCACACCCCAACAAAAATTTAGCTAGATTGGATTCGGGCCCGTAGCAACGGTTTCAAAAGTGTGGACTTCCAAAAAAAAAATCTGACACGCAAAAAAAGAAAGACAAAATCCTAAACTGACCAAAAGTGGGGGGGGGGGGGGGCAACTTCCCAAAATTATCTGACAAGGAAAACAAAAAAAAGGTAATTTCTGAAATTTGCCAGTGCTCGACCTTAAAACATCAAAAAGTAGGGGGGGGGGAGGGGGGCAGCATTTAAAGGAAAATTTACAAAAGCAAAAAAGTATACTCAGAAAAAAATCGGGGGGGGGGGGGCAACCCCCCCCCCTCCCCCCGCGTTTCACGGGCCCGTGGATTCTTAAAATATCACCTCTTTTAATTAATCATTTATCGTGCCTGTTTTAGCTACCTATCAGGGAAGTCCGTACCACCTGTGTTACGCCACCACCTGTGTTACGCCACCTTCGATATGTTTTATTTGTCCCGCAGGTCAAGCGCTAGACTGAAAAGACATCCTGATAGGATTATGTAATTTAATATTTCAGTAGAAAAATTCAAGAGACCATCAATTACTTATTTATGTCTCTTGTATTAATAGCAAACTTGAGGGGGCAACGCTCAACGTAATTTATGACGTTGCTGCCGTTGCACTTGTTCAACGTTTTTTAACGTCAAAATAAAATCAATTCTTTAAACTTTAAAGCTTCCCGTGTATTTTGGTAATATTGTCATGAGGAAAATCTTTTACGAAATGATAATCAGCAATTATCTATCATTAAAGGTACATGGCATGACCAAATATGTACATCAAATTTTAGCACTTTTAGATAATAATTCAATTAGTAGAAGCACTTTGATTGGTCAATTTAATAAATCACAACTTTTTCGATTAAGAGTATGCGTCCCTCTGTCGGTCCTTTTCTATATCAATAAGCTGTACGGACGTCGTAAACCTTGATTAATCTTTGTTTTCTTCAAATTCAGGTAATTATAGAGGGCGAAGCTCTCCCTATATGTAACACGTATGTATGTAAAGTACATTGAATTCTATTGTAAACTATAATTTATTACAAGTAGAGCTTTTTAAAAAAGCTTACCGTCTTTAGCAACAACCTTAAATAGTAAACTGACCTAAACCTATCAGGGTGTATAATTCTTGAAAATTCCTTGGCTTTGTATTTCTTCATTAGTTTTTTTTTCTGACAACCTACCAAAAGAAAAGTTAACAGATGCTCGGTTGTCTCCGTAAACCTCGGCTCTGCTGCCGAGATCATCGGCAAACCTCGGCTGATTCCGTCACCTTTGTGATATGTAGATGAGGTACGAATCGGCCGAGGTGTTGCCGAATGCTGCCGAGATTAGAAAGACAGTGCTAGTCTCGTTCAACCAGACACTCGGCTGTCTCCGTAAACTCCGATGAGCTCTCTGCTGGTCGGAGTTTACGGAGACAGCCGAGCGTCTGGTTGAAAGAGACTAAGACAGTGCAAAACAAAGGGAAAAAGAATACATACAAGCTGTAAAGCTTGCATGCAATAAAGGTCAATTCTGTTACCAATGAAAATATATAAAGGTGTTCTGGTAATTGCTATGAAAAAACTGGCATGTTATTTTGAATTAAATACTGCCAATTTCCACTGTTCGTTTTGTCATATTTTTTTACGATTGAAAATCTTGAAAAAGTGTTAAGTCGTACGAAAATTTGATCATCAGAAAATTATCTCCCTTGCCTCGAATAGCATTTCAACCAATGAAATAA